GGTAAAAAATCTAAAAAGAAAATACACGTATTAAATTCAGATATAATATATATATATATATAGCAGAGGTTGGGTTTGAATAAAGGGAAGAGCATCGATGCAATAACTATCATTGAGTGCTGAAAAAACAAAGAAGACAGGTAAACAAGTGAAGAATAAAGTGAAAAGGAAGGACCTACCAGCGGCACCCTCCAACCATGGCATAAAGCCCAGGGAGAAATACACGAGAATAAGAGAAAATGAAAGCACACTTTTTAAACTCAGATGCTGTACTTTCAGTCTCAACTTAACACTAATTGAAACTTGGGGAAAACAGAGTTCTGACCATGTCTTATGTTAGTGCATGGGTTTAACGCCCCCTATCAACACTATTATGGTCCTGTCTGAGATGGTTTTTAATTTTAAAATCGGAGATTTCACTCCTTTTGGACGACGTCTCAGTGTCCGAGAACTCGTGTTCACCCCGACATACTACACTGCCATCGCATAACAGTAGCGTGAACCAATTGTCAGAATAAGAATGACTTCAACCAAAATTGTAATGAACCCTTTGAGGAACTTCAACAAACAAGTTTTTAGGGCATTTAAAAAAAAAAAAAAAAAAAAAAAAAAACGACGCGTGAAAACCTATATGAACAGAATTTTCCGTTCTATTTTTGTATAATCTGAAACTTAAAGACAACAACATGCATTCTAGGAAACACACAGATCTGTGTCGCTAATCTGTGTTATATGGGTTCGAAATGTGATAATGCAACATTGCCTTTGCTCTGCTGCTGATCACACATAATTTGAAATGCGTTGGTTCTGTAGCGAAAAAAAAATTTAAAAAAATAAGTAAACCCCAGACTGTCTTTGTGCTTGGATTCTGCAGAATGACAAACTACTGGGATGACTACATTCCATTCATCTTAGGAATTCTCGAACAATGTCGGTGAAGCGCATCATAAATCATTTGATTTTATATAAAGTTGCGCGTGATATTGATCACATGTTCACGCGATATTTTTCACCGCCTTATCATGTGACATTTATAACGATATCACGTGACACGAAGCACGTGTCTCCTGGTGCCAACCACACAGGTTGTACATGATTTAGAAGTGATTTTCGTGCACTGAATAATATCACGTGGCGTCGATCACAGCATCGCGTTGCATTTGATCACAGCGTCACGTGGCGTTTGATCACATTCGTTCCAAATATACCACGAGTTCGCAAACCCAACCCACGTCACGTGACAAGTTAACGCCACGGGGAGTTCACGTGTTCGATGTGACCAATTCTCCCTCTCCACGTTATCACGTGGTGCGTATAACGTGATGCTTTCTGTTTCATCACGTGGCATTTTTGGCCACCTCAGGTGACGTTCGAAGCTTTGGATCCCGTATGCCGGAGACCGTTCAGCATCTTTTGCATATTCATGAGCTGGCTGTCGGGGGCGGAGTCTACAGTGCTTTTGTCATCGGTCACGCGATGATGTTGGCCTGCTGACGTCATCTGAGACCGGCCGCGGTTTTCTCGGGTTCCAGAGTTGCTGCTATTTTGTTTGGAATTGTCTGAATGTCGTTGTTGTTGTTGTTGTTGTTGTTGTCGTGTTAGCGATGATGATGATAATGATGACGATGATGATGGCGATGGTGATGATGACGATGATTTTGTAGATGAAGATAATGAAAAAGGGGCCGAGGGAGGAGACGGTGGTGAAGCAGACCCGCGGAGAGAGTGAGGCGAGCCCGGTGTGGTGGCGGGGGGTGGTGGGGGAGGAGGGGCGTGAACTTTGACCTTTCTGTTGTTGGCCGCCTCAGCTGAGGCGAGCGCCATCTGGTGGTGGCGGTAGTAGTGGTGGTGGTAGTGATGGTGGTGGTGGTGCGAGGACAGAGGCGAGGAGGGCACGGGTTTGATGCTCTGGTTGTGGTGGTGACGGTGGCTGCGGTCGAAATCTTTGGCGTTGTGGTGAAAGAGTGGTCGAGGGGAGACTGACTCCTCCTCGTCGTCCCGGTGTCTGCTGAGAGCGAGGCTCGAGGCGGGATCGAGGTCAGCTGGGGTCTTGTCCGAGTCGCGTTCTGGGCTACACGAGTCTCTCTCGTGTGGCGGTGGCGAGGAGTCTAGCTTTATGAGTGAAGAAATGTCGTAGGAGGTTCGTTTGTGGCTTCTGCGGTGCGGGTCGGCGAGAGAGTTGTGACCTATTTTGGCCTCTGGGGATATTTCAGTCGTATTCTCTCTCATTTTCGAGAAGCGCACGTCCTTGTTCCGAACCTCGAGTCGTTTTTCAATCTCCTCTGGTGTTGGCGAACGAGCCGTTCTGTGTTGTTTCGGACTACCTCTTTCGCTGTGTCCTACTTGACTTTCGTAACGTCGCGAGAAAAGACGCTCGCCAGCTTCTAAAGCGTCATCGGCGTCCGAGAATCGTTTACCTACAGAGACAGAGTCGGGGCGATGGGACGACGATGCAGCCGCCTGTCGGAGCTGGAAATTCCTTAACCCTTCGTAGTCAGGAGAGGACAACAAAGGCGCCGCTGCGTTGGCTTGCCGAGCCTGATGCATGGCTAGGTGCGAGCGGTGGAGAGTTAATATAGACGGGAGGGGGGCCGAGTGTTTCACAGGGGCTGACGTATCGTTGGTCGGAATTCTCCCCGCCACTAGAGGGCTCCCCGGTGTCGCAACAGACGCAGTCGCAGCAGCAGCAGCGGCGGCAGCAGCAGCAGCATCAGCAGCAGCTTTAGCAGCGGCAGCAGCAGCAACAGCCCCGACCGGCGTGGTGCTGGACGAGGGGGTCGCGTACGGGAATCGGTGCTGGCTGTAAAATCCGGATTTCGATGGAGAAGAACCGGTTTCGCCGAACTGGTTCCGAAAGCTCAGGTAAGCGTCGTTTCGGGCTGAGTAGCGAAACGACTCCAGAACCGAAGGGGACATGTGTCGCAGCGGGAACGGGAAAGACATGGGTGAGCCAAAAACGTCTGCCGAATCTCCCAATCCGGCCGCGCCAGGGAGAGACATCATGGCGGGCGGAAAGGGAAACGGCAACGAAGATAAAAACGACGAGGACGATGTAGACGAAGAGGAAGGTGAGGAGGCGGTGGATGAGACAACGGAAGAGGGGAAGAGCTGCGGCGGTGTTGGGCCAACAATCCCCGCCGCCACGCCCCCGGGGTAGAGCAGGCTGTGATAGGGGTGAGCCATCACGTGACCCCCGCCGGGTATCTTCAAGTCTCCTGGGTGGGGGTGGTGGTGGGGGTGGAGACCTCTGGCGGCGGCGGCCGGCGGCGGATGCGAACCCGTACCGCTCGTACAAAGCCGCCTGCTGCTCTCTCCTCGCGGCTGATGACCCGGACAATGATGACGATGAAGACGACGACAACGACGCCATGTTGAAAGCGCTAGGGGTCATGACCTCTTCCTCCACTCCTCCTCCTACTCCACCACATTCTTCTGTTTTGACTATCGCGTGATCTGGGTCATAGACAGCTGAGTTCACCTCCACTTTAACCTTTGACCTTTCCTCGTCTGTTTTGAGGTCACTCCCCTCGGGATACGCCTTACCACACAATGTCTCCAACCTCCCAGAGTATGACGTCAGCTTTCTGTCTACTACGTCATCACTTACGGGACTACGGGGAGACAACTTCATTTCCTGGTGGCCGCTCCTTTCCCGCCTTTTCCCCTCCAGAACCAAACCAGGCTCTACAACAGCAGACTCCGACCTCGCGTGAAACCGTGAATGGTGAGAAGGAGGAGGTTGGGGATGAGGATGATGCTTCACCGGTGACGTCATTGCCTCCAAATCGTCCGATCTCCCGGAAGTGTTGGGTGTGGGCGTGTCCGTCGTGGCGTCGGGCGGAGAGGCGCTGGAGGATGACGCGTCGTTGTCATGGCGACGCTCCGGTGTGATTTTGGAGGGACAGTGTTTGGGGTCGTGAGACGTGGCGTTTGAGGACGGGTCTGTCTGATTCAGTGCTGTTGTGTGGCCCACTTCGTTCCCCGCGCTCGAAGTTTCTGGAGAAAAAAAATTCAAATTGTGTTAAATCATCATCACCATCATCATCATCACCATCATCATCATCATCATCATCATCAGCAGCAGCAGCAGCAGCAGCAGCACCAG